CAGCAAAGAAATAATACCGCTGTTTGGCTAGAATTGGATCAAATACATTAAAACGTACATTAAAACGACCAGTTCTCTTCCTTATTTTTATAAATGATATAAGTTCTAGTATTAAGCACTGCAAAATGTCACTATTTGCTGATGATCTTAAGATTTACCATCCAGTTAAATCAATCAGTGATTCCCAACTAATACAAGATGACCTTAATGCAATATTAGATTGGTGCAACGTAAACTGCATGAGGCTTAATGTTAATAAATGCTTTCACATCAAGTACACCCGCAAAAGAAAACCACTTGTTACTAAGTATGAGGTTGGCGGGGTTTATTTAGCAGAGGTCAATGAGATTCGTGATTTGGGCGTTATCATCGATACAGGGCTGACTTTTACATCGCATATTGACAAAACTGTAACTAAGGCAGCACAAATGCTTGGTTTTTTGAGGAGAAATAGCTCAGATTTTAAAAAACTAGATACCAAATTACTTCTGTACAATACTCTTGTCCGCAGCATTCTCGAATTCGCGAGTACTGCATGGTCACCATGGTACGCTGTTCATTCCCAAAGAATTGAAAGTATTCAAAGAGCCTTTACCAGAAACCTTGCCTACTCTTGCAGTGGCTTTTCTCATAGGAGCCCGTATGACACACGGCTATCCAAGTTTAACATGACCACTCTTTCTAATCGCAGACGCATTTTTGACCTTTGTTTTCTTCATAAATTAATTAATAATAATATACAGTACAATTATTTATTAGAAAAAATATCAGTGAAGGTTCCTCACTCTTATCCCAGACATAGAATAACTAAAATATTCCACACACAATTTTCAAGAACTAATCTAGGCCAACATTCACCAATAAATAGAGTCCTTAACCAATATAATAGTATCCAAACTCGTGATCCTGACATTGACATCTTTCGCCAATCGTATAATGAATTTAAAACTAAAATAACAAATGTTTTGTGTCCATCTACCTTAACCCAAAACAAATGTGAATAAGATATAAAATAGATTTAGAGTAGTATTAATTCAAACAGTTTATTATTATTATTAAGTATACTCTTCTTTAGTTAGTCTTTTTTTTTTCTCGTTTGATTGTAATTAGTTTACTACTTTTTACACTACTACATTACAGTAAATGCTATGTACACCTTAATTGTCATACATATCAGGTATAATGCCACGTATTGTCAAAACTAGTTATAAGTATAATATGTATGATGTGGTAGTACTTATTAATAAATAAATAAAAACGTTAATTTGTTTGATAAAGGTGATGTATAAAGGTACCTTTTACGATTCAACTCTAACAATTCGAATCTGAAAACCAAACATTTTACGGAATTGCTCGCCTTTCATTAATAACCCCTTCCATATGTGTTGAAGAGTACAGGAAAAGTTTGAGTTAGTGAATAATCAATGAGTGTTTGATCAGCATTTGATGTAGGTGTTAGAATAACCTAATAAAGCACAAGTGGACTGCTCCTAAAAGGGAATAGAGTTAACACTCTCTGCCGACTAAAAGAATATTTTTCTAATTCAAATATTTTCTCACTTAAAGGGTCTATAATTTATAGTTTTTTTTTTGGACCGCCCTCTAAAATGCCCATTTGTTGCAGCCCTGATCTTTTCAGTAAATGCTTTTACCAATGTTATGAAATAATTTTACTAGTTTTAAACATTTATGTATGTGGATTGTTTGGTATTTAATTAACAATAGATTCAAATGTGGCGAAACTGTGGCAGACCTAGCGATGTGAATATAATAACCAAAATATTAGTAAGATCTTAATGAATGAATGAATAAATGAATGATTGAATTATTTGCACAATGCGAACTAAACAGTACAATCTCTACTTAATTAATTATTCAACCTCTATATTAAATAGATTAGGGATTGTAAATAAATTTCCTTTAACTATGCAATTTTATCAAAACTTTATCTTGTTGAAAGAAATTAAACAAAACGTATTTTTTTTAATTGTTGTGACCGAATTGTTTTTCTACAAAGGCCAAAAGTAGCTGAATACATCAATATACTGTAATAAAACTCAATTATTCGATTCATAATGTACACTTTATAAAATATCGGGTGAAGTAAATTAACGAACGAAATATAAGCAGGATAGGTAACGTTTTTATAATCGAAATCGACCCAAATTCAGTGAAAAAACGTAATAAAGTCGGATTACACTTAGCGTATTATAACAAAAAATATTTTTGCAAGCGAGAATCGGTTTATGTTTTCGTAAAATCAACGCCCGCACAGTGAAATTGCCTACATGTATTTTTGTTTTCAAAAAATTGAACATGATTTCGCGGTAACCCTAATCAAAACCAAGAAGAAGCAAAGTCAACGAATGATTCTATTTTGCATTTTATAACGAGACGACAAGAGTTTCAATTAACTTTATTCGCATTTTTTCGTCTTCTCTTTGTTAACGAGATGTATGCATTCCTGTTCCACGAAACAATTCTGTATACAAATTCATTTGCTATTTTAGAGAAATAGTTTTTGACTTCAGTTTTTCTTTTTACTTTGAATAGGTTTTGTTTCTATTTCCCTCCAACGATTTTTTTTTAATCTAACAATAATTACAAAATTATTATGACACTAAGTCATTCGAAGTCAGTTAAGCGTGATTCTAGAACTCAAATTAATTCCATATTTATACTTCTAAAATTAAAAGAGTTACTAGTAATTAATTAAATAAATGATGTTACTCATCAAATGAATTCCTTGAAGTTAGTAAATAAAATGCAATTAAAATATCTAACGAACTTTACTGTGTCCATTATTATTTTTTCGCAAGCTGTAGTCAAGAGAAAACTGTTTATTATTAAATTATTTTATTCATTAACATTTGTACACGTAATGATGCGGTACATATAATATACCGGAGATATTTTTTAAGAATTTTTGTGTTTCTAATGACACAGAAGTAAAGGAAACGAAGAATCACTCACCTGTAGCATTATACGTAAGGGCTTTTTATACTGTATCTAGCACCCCAATTTACATTACAAATATAAGCCATTTGTTGCTCAATAAATTTCTAGAAATAAAATTACTTGCCCCGACTGACTGACTCATCAACGCTGACTGATTCCTAAACCGCTGGGGTTACAAACTTGAAATTTTAGCAGCTGATGCTTTTTATGTTATAAACACCCGCATATGTGATAAAATAAGGCATGAACAGTAGTTTGGAAGTCCATAATTTTCTAAGGTAGAAACACGAAATAAGAAATATAATAATAGCTAGCTACTGTTAAGTAGCAAAGCACACAATTATTCAACTATAAACGTAAAAATTCACAGTAAATTCAAAGCTAAAAACGAGAATTATTCGAATATACAGACGATTAAAAAGCAGTAGGGACAACGCATCAAAGCTTCGGGCATTACCGGCTACAACGAAGTAGCATCAAGAATAGCAAGATAGTAGGTGGGTAATGAGCGAAAAAACATGGTCCCGGTCATACAACAGATAACGACAATACTCCAACTTAGAACAATATACCAAAAAAGTTTGGCAACGTTCATTGAAAAATATATAATTCATTAGAATTAGATTTGTTTTTATATTTAAATAAAAAAAAACAAATATTAATTTTAAATTTTGTTAATTTTGTACATTCACGAAATGCCGCAAACATTTACTGTACTACCTAAGTTGTCAACATTGCAAATACTAACAAACACTTAATTAATTCATGTATATATTCATGTATTTCTGTACGGTATAGCCGCTTTATTTTGTTACCAACGATTAAATTAATAATATGACGAATTCAGTCTAATACTTCTCATATATATTTATCCAAACATTAGCAGTAACATTTAGAGTGTAAAATATATACAGGCCACGAAAAATATAACTATAAAAGTATTTGAAACAACAAATAAAAGTGACCAAGAAACGAATCTTCACATGTGGTGTTGTAATAATAAAAAAATATATATTTCAAGAAGATATTTTTAATAGGCTATTATACTATATATATATATATATATATATATATATATATATATATATATATATTCTACCATAAAAAAAGGACGCTCTTGACATATCGGTAAAGCTCCACGGACATTAAGATTATGTAATCTCCATTGTACTGTGAACAATACGACCTCATTGGACTACTGCACGTATTTTTATACAATATTACGAGCCAAATGACAAAAGAATCCAGAGATTTGAATTTAAATGAATACAAAAATGAAAAATATCAAAGCGAATCGTTCTAGCTTTTTGCTCTTGTTATGTTTTCAATTCATTATTTTTATTTCTGTAATCGTTAGAGGATTTTTGGGCTTTATGTTTATTGTGTACACGTACGGATATAATATTTTTAAGAGATACATCTATTTTTATATTGACTTGCACGTTTTCCGGCTAAATCTAAATTTGAGATACGTTTCTGTAAAAGCAGCATTGAAATTAAGTTCAAATATTTTGAAATTGCTTATTTATGCCAGTGTTTTTAGTGGAGGTTACTTATTAAATATTGTTTTTTTTTTTCAAAACAAGCCCGTTTAATGCAAGTGTTAATATTTATATCGAGTTAGTTTGCTAGTGCTTGGTTTTAGTCGGCTCCACTCTTGACATGCCGTTTTGATAAATATTCTTAAGTTAGAATTGTCTGGGTTCGTTGATAGTATACTTGTATAGTCCCTGTAACACAGCGATTCATAGTCCTGTATTGAAAGTTATCTTTTAAAAACTTTTTATTTAAATTCCAAAATCCCTTAATTAATATTAGTTTACAGTCAGTTCTTAGAAAATAGATAAATATATGTTCTAAAGTAGTAGGCCAAAGCTTCCTTTCTAAGAAGAAACCTATGTGCAGTAGTAGTAGTAGACTATTAAAGGCTGTTGATGTGATGTTATCTGTTCCAAATACATTATATCGTCATTTCTCCCAATACATTAATATTACTTACATTTCTAGTACATGCGTAATAATATATTACAATGATCACTTACTAGTAATAGGCTGCAGGTCGTAACCGTCCGAAGCAATCACAGTGATATTATGACCGTCCACTGAAAGCTCAATGGGACAGTTCAGGAACTCAGCGTTGATCAACCGAAATCGATACTTGAAACCCTAGAAATAAGGATCAGTTTTAGTTCTTGAGAAACAGTTGTAAGGTTTTAGTTGGTGTATAAAATGATACGTGGTATTTATCCAAGGTAGTAGCTACGTAAGACATAGAACTGGTCATGTTAAGACGAGTTTAATCGAATTTTATAACATTTTCACAAAATAGGCAAGGAGGTATAATAGAGGTTTATAGAGGTAAAAATGTGGTCGGTGCACCGAACCCTATTTACAAGGAATATTCACATTGACGGCCATCAGCGTAGTGATTTGTGTAATGAACTGCTACGCCAATGGTCGCGGGTTCGATTCATGCTCAAGTCAAACATTTGTACGTGTGAACATTAAATGTTCGATTTGGTCTGGGTGCTATGAATAATATGTACGTACTTACACGAAAAGAGTATGTATTTATGTCAGTGTGGGACTAGATGTCGTTGTGTAAATATGGTAAAAATATTACATTAACCATTCATACAGCAACGAAAGTATTGCTTAAACCAAGTTTGTCTGTCTGTTGCTCTTTAAAAACGTTATAGGATTAAAAGTAAAATTCTTAATGTATTTTACATGACATTTAAAATACTGATTCGATGAAGTTTCACTCTCACTCGAAAGCTAATACATATCGACCATACCTGAGACATTAAATATGTTTTCAACAAGCTGAATTCAAAAATATAAGATAAGATGGGATTAGTATTTAGTATAACTTTGGGACCCGATAATTAGCAAGCTTTACAAGTAAATTACTTTCCCTTGACTGATGAAGCACCTGAATTATAAAAGACCACGGTATCAACACAGAGTAATGTTTTATTTTTCTGGGCAGGAAAGTTTGCAGACGTCCATAATAGGGTTGACGTCGTGAAAGTGCGTTTACTTACTTAAACTTTATTGGCGACTTATCATGACGAATGGAGGGTCTGTTTGTTTCATAAAAACTTTTATATTATTAGAAAAAAAAAGAGTAATAAAGATTTATAAAAACTACCATAAATTAAAAATACCCTCAACGATCAGAAATATTCGTACGGCTTAAAAGGTACGGCTTAATAGCTGAAACACTTTCGATCAAACAAAAAAAACTAAATAAATATACCACCACAAAAAAAACACAAACACACATATATACTCGATGCACAAACCGACATATATACTCGTATTTACAGATAACATCCCTCTTTTAGACCAGGGTCGATAATTTTGAAAATAGTAAAAAGTGAAAAAAAATTATAGTAGGATGAAACCCGTTACAAAAGGTCGAGAATATAACAAAAATGAAAGGAAAAATAATTTACGGGCGATCTGAGGTCGGGAAGTGGAAGGGGGTGAAAAAAATTAAGGGTAAAAAACGGTGTATCTCGATTTCCGGCAAAACTATAAGTCCTATGGAAAAAAATCAAATGGCAAAGTTGTAGGTAATAAAGAGACCTACAACTTTTGTAATTACACTTTTTTCACATAACCTCAAAATTTATGTGAAAAATTCAAATAATCAACAAAATAATAAAAACGTTAATAAAAAGATTACAGGCTCAAGGATTTTCCTGTAAACAAGCAGAAGAAGATGCTGATGCAGACATTATTAAAACTGTCATTGTTGTTGGTCAAGATATTGATCTATTGGTCCTTTTGAATCAATAGATCAATATCTTGACTTTTCACCCCCTCAAAGGATGATTTCTATTATAAAAAATACCCTAAATCCTTTCCCGGGAATCGGACTATCTTTATAGTAAAATTTCATCTAAAACGGTTCAGGCATAATTAGTATGGATCATTCTTATTAAACATTAAAAGGTGTTTTACTCTCAACAGCTCTACTGTTGTATTTACACATATGTATTTATTCTTTTCCTTTTTTGCACACGTGAAATGATGATCAACGGATTGCCGTTAATCAGCATTTCACGATATGATGATGTCTACAGATCTATACTGCTTAATTATATCATCATCATCAATAAAATATATAATATATATATTACATACCATATTCGTCCGTTGTGTCCTAAAAAGGAGAGAAATCAAAGCTTAATCTCACCTGCTCCACATTAAATCTAGCTGCCCTCATATAAAGTGGTTTCGTGGTATCATTATTGAAGACTTTGAACCGGCCCACGCCGTTGACGAGCAGCGTCGGAGGCTTATTATCACCCTTTGAGTGGTGATGATCGGTGAACATTCCCATTGCCATGTCGTGAATCCAGTCTGTCACTATCATTACGTGTTCTGATCTGAAATTAAAGAATAGAAATGTTTTTAAAGTGAAACTTTTATAATATCGGCTCATTTTTTTTCGTCCATCCTTCGCATATCGCATTACATCTAAGACCAATATGGCGGCGCTTGCATCAGCTCACCCTATAGCATATCTATTCTGATTCTGATTCATAAGTCCAAGTCTTTAATATTTTACACTTTGTACAGGCGATGTTAATATTAGCAAAATACTTGTAAAGAGTTAATTATAGGTTTAGCCTTTACTAAATTACTTTTAAGAAATAGAAGGATATTTTTGTGAAGCTTATTAACACCGGTTCATCTTACTTTCATTTGTTTAAAAACTATTTTCTGTTCAAAATAATAGACGAAGAGCGCGTAAACCTTAGTAAGTTTTAATTCGACGAATAATTAGGAAAATGTCGAACTACATACTTAATAACCTCAATTATAGACCTTTTTAATTTTATAATCACATGACACTACGAAATTACATGTAATATTTATGCAGAATGAGTTGTTCATACACCAGTCTTGCAGTATGTAAACTGTAGTTGTGCTCAATAAATATTGACCAGGGCTGAACTATGACACGACAGGTTTGAACATCAAATAAGATTTACTGACTCAAATATCGTGTGTGCAAATGTATAGAGATTCTCTGTTAGCTTTTATTAGAGCTTTAAATGTTCAAAGTTAAACTACACATCATATAGTAGGTAGATTGTAATGGTTAATACTGTAAACAGAACACTAATAAATTGATAATGACAGAAATTATTGCCGTTAGCATCAAAAGCTTAAACACTGTAATTTGAGTCTTAAAAGCTTTCAACTTAAATAAAATTTGTGTTGCTGTTTACTGTTTAATGAGTCATCAAATGTGTACTAGGTATGTACTGGTAATAGGTGCAAATATTTTATTCGAAATTATTAACAATCATCTCATACCTTAAACGAAACTTATATACATATGCGATTGCAAACTTCACAACATACTTAACCGCTGCCTTCTTGTTTTTTTTTTATTATAATCAGACTTATAGAGATTTCTTTTATCTTTAAACCATTTAAAAATATACCCGAACCTGTCATAATCATATAAGCTGCCGTGATGATCCTGAGATTTTGGTTTTCTTATTATCAAAGCACCAGCTGCTCCATCCGCGCGTTGCATTCCAGAATGAGAGTGCCAGAAGTGAGTGCCAGAATGAGTCGCATTGAACTGGTATCTGAAAATAAACAATTGTGATAAAACCTAAAAAGAAAACTAGATAAAGAAGTAACAATGTCCGGCCTGTTAGTCTAGTGTTTAGTGACCTTAACCTCTAAGCCAAAGGTCGTGGGTTCGATTGCCACCCAGAACAAAACTTGAGTGATAATTTTTTCTGTCTCTGGGTGTAATTTATCTACAATGTGTTTGTATTTAGAAATATATAAGCAGGCTTATTTCTATAATATAGGCTCTGATTGGTTTAGGATCAGACCGTGATGTCGTTTGTGAGATGTGTAAAGTTATTATTCTTATTATTATTTTATCATACCTGAATGTTGTCTCAGGTAAAATTGGACACTGCGTAACATACGGCGTGCCGTCCATGTATGGAGTGCCTCTCTGATGTTGTCCATGCCAATGCACCGTGGTACCCTCAGTCATCAAATCGTTTTCTACATCTACAATTATTCGATCATGTTGGCAGACCTGGAATAGAAAAATTATTTTTACGTCTCTGTATGTTTATACAGCCCACTGAATGAAAATGTTTGTTGTCACTTTTTTTTAATGTGCTATACTTTCAATAGTGTGCTTATTACTCAAGACACAAAATGCAAAGCATTCAAATCGACACAAGAAGGATTGTTTTATTATTATAAATTTAATACACTAAAAATTTACTTTCTTAATATCATGGGTTTGCCGTAAATATTTTTAAAACCTTGTTAATATTCTCGATGATGAAAAGCAGGATAATGAAATATTAATATTTCTTTCTATTAATAATTCTATCAAAATGGAATTATTATCAAGTCGTAAGATTGAAGTCTCCCTGAACGAAATAATATTTCTTCAGGTATTCTATTAGATCCGAAAGGAGGGCGCCCGGCGGACTCACCGGCCCATAGTGTTGCTTGACGAGGTGTGCAAACTCTTAGAAACAGTGATTGCAAGGCGCCTCGTCAAGCATCTCGTCATAGTGGGGCCGGATCTGGAGGACAGCCAGTACGGTTTCCGTCAGGGGCGCTCCACCGTGGATGCGATCATGCGCGTGAGAGGGCATGCATTGCGGTTATTTCATTATATTATGCCTACACAATTTTTATACATTATATATTTTTATCTTTTAAGAAAAAATATTACGTGAAAACACGTATATGGTACAATGCACATTTCTAGTAAAAGTTAGAGTATGTGGCATACCGCAGTTGACTCATACAACTTGAATGTTGCCTGAAAGCTTATTCATTCTATAATTGCCTTCACTAGCAACTCCACTTGGTCATGCGAATGAACGTGGGATACACAGAAAATTATACCGTAATGTACTCAATTTGTTCATAAATTTTGCTTTAATCCAACATTCATTGTCAGTAGCATAATTGTTAACATAAAAATGTTTTGATGGTAAAGAATAATGTTCATGCAATTTTCGTTGAGCTTGTAAATATGTATGTACGATTTTGTTGCAATTAACAATAAGTCAGGTTTGAAACCTAATAGCCTAATTGCGAAAATTATAATTTAAAGTGTTAATTCTAAGCGTTTAACTGCATGAATAGTGCAATGGTTAACCACCTCACAAACTTCCACTATGTCCAATGTTGCGGATTTGTGAAATTTACAAATAATTGTCAACTAGAGTGTGTATCATTAGTATTCATTAATAAAATTGAATTATTAGAAGGTCCCAAAAATCTCTTTAATTACGATTAAATTTATAGCAATATTATAATGAAGATCTTTTGAAAATAGTCACAAAGAAAAAGCTTTGTGATTTTAAAGAATAGTCCTACTAAGAACAATTTTTTTTTTTTTATGGAAATGAAATAACTCTTACTAGTTCAATCAAAAAGTAAGATTCTTCCTTCACTCTTCATTGACATATATTTTTTTTTTATCTTTAATTTAAAGTCATACAAACTCATAACAGTGTGTTTATCATTAAAACATAGCTCTGTTGAAAACAAAAGGGTCAAACACTTTAGTGCAACTTATTATCTGTGTTTTAAAAAAGTTTTAAAATATTTACTACTCACCTCTATAGCTGGCCCAGGCATTTTTCTATTAATTACATTCAACGGGCGGTTCATCCCATCCGCTGGAATACAGTCGGGTCTATAACAGTCCGAGATATTGAATGGACAGTCATAGCAAGCTTTGCTCATAGTTTGATACCACTCAAGCACAAAATGATAATAACAGATCATCGGCTCTTCACCTTCTCTACATTCTCTATGACAAGGATGGTCACCGTCTATTAATTCTCCCGTGACTTCATCATACCTAACATGAGCTCTCAATTTGGCATCATTTTCATTTCTGCTGGCCTTTATTGGATACTTGAAGGGTAATGAAGTACTTTTCTGCAATGGTTTATTATTTATACCATTAGTTGTGCCATTACTAAGCTTTGTTGCAACGAGAGCTCTTGAAGCACTCTCAAGGGGTTTTGGCGGTTTTAATTCACCAATTTTTATATTAGATTCTTTTGATTCTATAGATTCTGAACTATAATTTTGGTGACTACTTTCTCTGTTTTCAGCGGGTGTGTCAATGCTACTGACTGTTGTTAGTTCTTTTGGTTGTGTAACTTCAACCTGTGTGAGGATTGCGTTTATATCTGTAACAAAAAAGATATATAGTTTATTATACTTATACATAAAATGTTATTCAGTTCTTTTCAACATATTCTATCGTATGAAGACGAGACGTAACGGCAACGATAAACTTAACTAAGCAATGAAAGATTCACCAAAAATAAATATGACTTAATGCGATGTGTGCGACTCGTAAAATAGTACGTACGTGTAGTACGTATAAGTTTAATTGAAATTAAATGATTTGGGGATGAAAACAAAACCGCCCTTTTAAGTTTTGTGATATATCACCTAATTCCCTTATAAACCCATCGTAATAAGGGTAAACGAAGCATAAAATAGGAATTCAGGGGCAAAAGAAAAAATATTTAAACCTGATCATCATGGTAACATTTGAATTGTAAATCTGGAATCAACCGGTTGACTTAACCCGTCTCTTCGAATTTTATTAAACGTTTAAAGAGTATTTAAGGACGTATTTGTTTTAACCTGAGGAGAGAGATCGAGTCCATGTCAATGACATTTGTAGATAGTCGTTACCATTTAATTCATCCCCAATTTGAAATAATTTGAAAATAAACACGTAATATTACTACTCTTGTCAAAATAAATGTATTAAAAACTTAAAAGAACTCTGTAGAAAGAAAAAGGGAAATTTTCGAAAAAGCTGATGACTTAAAAGTATAATAGTTTTTCGCTAATTCTTTGGACTCGTAAGAACTCTATTGAAATATACTTCCTATACTGAAACAATTGCCAACAAACTCTGAAAGCTACATATATAGCTACATAAATACAAGTGAGGTATAAAAAACTAAACAAATTTATTAATCTCCGTCTTTGGCAAAATTCCTGGTATAAAACCATTATACTTTACTCGATAATTTATATAGCTATTCCTAATTAGGTAACCAATAATAAAATCTGTAATTTCTTGGTAAATCTGTACTTGAGGTTCTTTTAAAAACGCTTTTTTCTTAGCGATATGTACAAGAATTTCGCTAAATTAAAAATAATTATGAAAGTTATAATACAGTAACAATTGAATGTATAAAAGTTTACAGTTCTATACGGTAAACACATTGGTAGTTTAGAAGTAAGATTGGTAACCCATTCAGTGAAATCAGTTCTGCCACCTTTTCATTCGGACTAATAATCTTGATGACACGACTAGGGATGAAAAATCATAACACATACGATTTGATAAATAATACATGGTGTAGAAATCAATAATAACTCATCTTTCTTTATTTCTTTCTTATGTTGCTCTTTTTGTAAACAAAACTTGCTCTCAAAATTTTATGTTAAATAAAATCTGGTAGAAAGGTGGTAACTTTTTTCTATGCTCATAATGCAAAAGTTTTAATCATTTGAATAAAGATATTTTAAATCTATTCTATGTGAAAATGGATTAATCGTGAGTTGCTAACTTGCAAGCTTCCTGTAGATAAAACACAAACAACAAAAACACTACTTAAAAATAAAAATATCACGGCACACCTCAAAATAGGGTCATTGTGACAAACAGTACTTAATGAACTTGACCAACCCTAAAGATGCCCCTTGCTAATTGATTATCATTAAATTAGAGATGCCCCTGGACATATTGTCTCCGTCCCAATTAGAAATCTCTATAAAACAATCTCTTATAAACCTAAAACACAAATTCTAAAACCGACGAAACTGATTCTGAAAGCATTAATTAAACAAACAAGCTCTTAACAGTTGATTAAGTTTAAAAAGTCGGTCAAACAACTTAGCTGAGTTTGTTTGAATTGAATACTGTTGAGTAAGGATCGAGGTTAGGGAAAGCCCAACTTCAATGGCGTTGTAGTCCGTTCTAGAACTCCGTATTAATTGTGTAGTTGAACCCGGTTGATGCCATGATGCAAATATTATTGGTGTAAACAGAGTTCAATCTATAGATTTTATCCAATAAATAGTATAACTTAGCTGTCTATTCAGCTTTTCTTCTAGAGCACCATCGGTGCTGAGACAGTATGTGCTCAACGTTTAAACAAGCAGTAGCTTGGGTAGTTAGTGGGCTTCGTCTAATAATTTACCTAAGTCTAAATACTGAAAGACATCACCCTCCATGGAAGGCTCTATTGCGTGTGGAGAAGGGAAAGCTCTATTGCGGGTGGAGAACATATAACATACGAGTATAATTGAACCGTGGTCAAAATTAGTGAACTTTTTAAACACGCGAAACTTCGCACTTCGCATAGTCAGTGAGTGTAAAAGGTCACGAGGTCGTGACCTTTAACACTTTGGACATTGGCGGTAAATCGAATTTAACAGGAATTCTTTTTCCCAGATCCACAGACAAAGCAAGATTCTGCGCTGTAACGCTGTAGGTACGGTTCTTTCAGCGTTATTTTTAACTAAGTAGTCATTTTTTAGTAATTTCGAATGACCTAAAATACAAACATGGATAAATCATTAATCTGCAGAAAATTTCAATAAATGATTAGGTATATAAACTTGGAATTTTAATGAGGTAATTTTCTTCAAATCATTTTTTTGTGCAAATACTTTATTCATTTCATTAATAATTTCTTATCTTAATAGCTAAAGATAACAAGTTCTAAATTGTATTTGGCCTTAAAGTAATATTTTCCTGTGCGAATAATTGCTATAATCATTTTTGTAGGCGTTGTGATAAACATTTTATTAACTGAGAAAGAAGATTTTAAATCGTAATTAAAGCTTCCTTAATACTTTTACTAAAAACATAAAATATACGTTATAGTGAACAGTATTAAAAACTAATAGGTACATTTAAACTCGAGACGTTTGATGCTGCAATTCGCGGGTTCAATAAAGTTTTGCCAGTACAAAGCAAGAAATTGTTCTCGCCAAAGTATACATACATAACTCCCAGAGTACTTTCCCTTCTCTGTAGTTACAGGGTTTTATACCCATAGTAAAGAATAATTCATAATATAAAAAACTCGTAATTATTATTCACACTGTGCCGCACGCGGATTTCTTGAGCAATGACAATGTGTTTAAAGTTTAAATAAATAATGTAAACTTGTCCTTTGTATGTAAATAAAATAATTCCAGGTGTTAATTATATTATTATATTATACCAATATTCTAAGTCTGGCAATCAATTAGAAATTGACTATCAGCCAATTTGAAGATTTCACATTTCAATTTAGTATGGAAATCAATAAAGGCAAAGTTTACGTTTTCAGAAATTGCATTTATCTGGATCACAGAACTATGTATTTCTCTCTTTTTAAAAGAGCATGTATTTAAATAGCTTGGTTTTTTTTTTATAATGGATGGTTCCGATGATTTTCGTCACAAAGATAATATATATATTTATTTTTTTATTTATTGAGACTTGAGCAAAACTTATTGCATAAAGCGGACTTAATGCCACACGCGTATTTTCCAGTCAAACCATTGAGTGTTGCAAAGCTGCGTGTAGCAGGTGTTTATTTGAGACCGGTAAGGATGGGACTGAATTAAAGAATGTTACTTATTATATATATAATTACTTTTTTAAACTGATAAACTTATTTAATGGGTTTTCTTAGCATAACACTGCTCTCACGTGATATAAATGGCTCTAAACTAATATATGTTAAGCTTAAGCGGTGCATACATTTTTAAGTTACGTACACCAACTTAACATATTTACATAGACAGATTGAACTACATAACCTTACAAGTAATTTGTTACAATTTGATACTTGGTAATTTATGTTATACAGATAAGCTAGCATACATTCATTTCTTCGCCTTTTGAAACAAAAATAAATACCTACAAAAGTTTAAAGCATTTTCGTAAATAAACCCAATATACCTGAAATCCCAATAAACCAAGTTAAAACAACATTTTAAACCGGTTCCCTCCAATACATAAATATCCTTTGTTCACTTGCGTTTTGTCGCAATTCAATCGCACTACTGTCGCGCAACAGTCGTCCCACCACCAATCAAGGTTGTTCCGAAGTTAATCGCTCCATTCATTTCTGTACAGCGCACTAAGAGTTTTGATACGTGAATATATGTGAAGGACTCTTTATTTATTTAGTTTAATTGCATTCGCGACGAATTCTAACTAGGGCATGTAAAATAAGTATATTTTAGTCAAATGATCTGACTGACACATTCAAATCTAATGATTGCTTATTATTAAAAAATAGACCCTCGTAATGTAATATCTACCAGCTATTGCATAATAGTGGAATGGCATTATTATACATATCGGTTTGAAATCGACAAACCGAGAAGATACATTAGAAATGTACCTTCTGATTTTGTCCATTTCCACATGCTTCTTGACAACTTACTTTCTAGAAAAAAGGAATAGTTCTTGATCCAAACCCGAAGATAGAACCCAAGATATTACTAATGTCGAATATCTAATTCGAAACGCCGAAAGTAATACAAACTTAAGTTATAAAAGTTAAGTTTACTATTTATTTTATTTAAAATATTTAGTTTTACGTTTAACCACATTAATGCGTCTTAAGTTACAATTGGATAAAAGATTATACAAATGAACATAGCGTAGGTTAGGGTTGGCTTATTGGTAAATCTATGTGGCGGAAAAATGCAATTGCGATTCTCTCTCCCCCGGCCATTGGTAAGGAGAGGAACACCCGGGTGGTTTTTAGTCGATAAGAGTCCAACAGACTCCTTCGCCATCCCCAAATGGGCGAAGGGCATCGATGAGGATCTTCCACTCCGCTAGCAAAAAAATAATTGATAAATCTATACAGCAATTAAAGTTCAATGTAATCAATAAGTGTGATTGAGTGATGTCATTACTTTTGTGCTTCATTAAAACCAATGTTCTTTTAATACTTTACTACTTTTTTAATACAATAGGTATGGTACGGTACCAATAAATAACTTTATAGATGCTATACGTGATTCAAAAACAAGAAAACTGAAGTAAAGTCATTCTTAATGTACCATAAAGCATTTTATATTCATCTTTTGTTTTCTTTTATGTATATAATATCTTCTAGCCTCTAGATACTTCAGGGCATAGACAAAG